TGGGAGGGGCTTACCAGGAATTCCCTGATGCAGTGGGAGGGGCTGACAAGGAGTTCTCTGTTACAATGGGAGGGGCTTACCAGGAGTTCTCTATTGCAATGGGAGGGGCTTATCAGGAGTTCCCTGATGCAATGGGAGGGGCTTACTAGGTGTTCTTTGATGCAATAGGAGGGGCTTACTAGTACTTCTCTGCTGTAATGGGAGGAGCTTACCAGGAATTCCCTGATGCAGTGGGAGGGGCTTACAAGGAGTTCTCTGCTGCAATGGGAGGGGCTTACCAGGAGTTCTCTGCTGAAGTTTCTCTTTGAGTATAAAATGTCCATGTGTAAAAGAACGTCACACAACCACATGAGTGAGAACAGATGTCTTTTGTCTCGAGGTACTGTTGCAGCCTTAAGACTGGCTAAAGATTCTCCCAGAACAACAGTGGCTCGTTTTACTTCTTTGATGCCATTTATTATTTCCTCCCTGTTATTCCAGAACACGGTCAAAGATTAATCATAACAGGATCGAGATGATGTGAGACAACAAAAACTAAAACAGCTGTGGTGTTCTTTGTGTTTCTAGGGAACTAAGTAATGTTGTTGGTTCTGAAAGGCTCAGCATCTAGAGCCCTCGTGAATTCACCAGAAACAGTTTTAAAAAAAATTCCACTTAGGAAGCGTCTCTAAAAATATAATATCACCAAAAACTCTGTGTGAAAGCACAGATGAAAATCTTTGTTTTTAAAGATACCCGGAGCAGTATGGATGGGGGCACAAGTCCTGAACTAGAAATTAGAGTACTTAAGTTTAATTTTAGAGATTTAAAAGGTTTTCGTTTCATAATACACAGACCTTAGCAGCGGTTTCCTCGTTCCCTAGTTTCACCGACTCTTCCAGGTTCTGTTTCTCCGCCATCGTCCTCTCCAGCTGATCGTTAGCCTGACGGAGCATGACCTGCAGCTTCTTCACCTGAAGGAAAAGATGGACATTTTATTTCTGCCAAACTGTTGTTTTTGTTGTTGCTGCTGTTGTATATATGATGACACACACCTGGTCTCGTGTTTCGGCCTCTTGTCCCTGAATGGCCTGCAGCTGCTTCTCGTAGTTTGAGCACATATCGCAGCGTCGGCCGAGCTTCCTTCCTGCATTCTTTACCTGATAACATACAGAGAAGTAAACAACGCAATAGTTCATGATAGTTTCTCAGCATTTTCTGCACTGTTTACATTTGGAGTTCCTCAAGGCTTCATCCTGAGCATCATACTGTTTTCATTTTTTTCTGTTGCCTTTTGGCTCAGTATTTAAAACTATATTTTACAGCTTTGCAGATGACAAACAAATTATTGACTCAAAACAAAGAAATGTACTTCACAGCCTTTATTAGACCATCTTAATGACATCAAAGCATAAATTATATATTTTTTTTATTTAATTAACCTTTACTTAAAAAAAAACAGTCATTTTAAAATTGAAAGACAGATCATAAAACATTGGCAAGTGATAGATACCTTAGTTAATATTTCACACAGGGTGGGTCTGGGGAAACTCACAAGCCCCCAGTTGAATGTCTCGGTGTTGGGAGTTTTCCCTGCTGAACTAAAAGGTTGTCTCTCAGCAGCTTCAGCTGCACGAGGGAAGACTCTGCTGTTGTTTGTGCTTATGCACCAGAATACCCGTTTTTCTCGGAGTGCTCAGAGTGTGTTTCAACTATTGCGGCATCACATTTCTTGCCCACCTCTGGAAAGTTTACTCCAGGGTGCTGGAAGGGAGGTTCTGACCAAATGCCGAAACTCGGATTCAAGAGGAGCAGTGTGGCTTCCATCCTGGTTGAGGAAAAGTGGACTAGATCTTCACCCTTGCAGAGTTGCTAAGGGGGTCATGGGGGTTAAACTCTTCAGTCTATGCATTTTGTGGATCTGGAAAAGGCTTATGACTGTGTTCCCCAAGGCATTGTGTGGGGGTGCTGCGAGAGTATGGGGTGCCTAGGTTGCTTTTAAGGACTATCTGTTCCCTGTATATTCCTGGCACAAAGTTGAGCTCGTTCATGGTGCAGGTTTGACTACGCCAGGGGTGTCCCTTGTCTCTGATCCTGTTTGTGGGGGCCATGGACAGGATCTCAAGTCGCAGTCGTGGACAGGAGTGTGTCTAGTTTGGGAACCTCAGGATCTCGTCACTGGCCCTGAGGATTATGTAGATAATGTGGTTCTGTTGCCGTCTTCAGACCAAGAACTTCACCGTACACTGCGGTGGTTCACAGCCAAGTGTGAAGTGGCTGGAATGAGTGTCAGTTCCTCTAAGCATGATTGATACAAGCAGTCAAAATGAGCTTCCTTCATAGATTGGTCAGACTCAGCCGTAGAGATGGGGTGAGGAGTTCCATCATTCTGACATCTTCCTTTGGAGGTTTTCCAAGCACATCCCACTGGTCCTGTGGAAAACCTAGAACTTGCTGGAAGGCGTGTGTATCTTCTCTTGCCTGGGAACACCTCAGGGTCCCCCAGGCTGAGCTGGAAAGTATTACTGGGGAGAGGAATGTCTGGATTTCTCTCCTGGACCTGTTGCCTTTGCAACACGACTATGGATAAGTGAATGAAGATGGAGATGTATTTGATTTAGTTGCTTAAATATTCAGCTGAAAAGAAAAATGTGATTTAGAGCATATCAAAATACTGGTAAAGGTTCTGAGATGCACCTCTTGCTGCAGAAGATTCCACTCGGTGTCGCTGACGAGCCGGTAGCCTGCAGGCGGTAAATACGCCGTGTCAGGAGCATGAGAGATGCTGGACAGCAGCGACGCAGTCTCCTCCTGCTCCGGTGTCATGGCTTTGATCGCCTTCTCCTGGTCTTTAGTCAGCAGGAAGTGGCTCGCTGTCAGCATGATGGAGCTGATGGACGAAGTCTCACCAAAACTAGAGTCTGTCACCCCGCAGTCGGCCCCGACCAGGGGCCCAAAGTCTGACTCATCCAAGTTGCTGGCTGACTTGGCCTTGTGGTTGTGACCGCTGAGCCCCTGCTGGGAAGACAGTGAGGACCCGAGGCTGTCCGTGGACTGGACTCTCCGCAGGTTGTCCCTGTAGGTGTCCGTGGGGCCGCCCGCCACTACGTCAGTGTCTAATGAGTGCATTGAACCGTGGGTGCTGTGGTTGGTGTGAGGCTGAAAGAGAAAAGAAACAGCTAAGTCCTCTGAGGGAAGTTGAACAAATGTGCTTCCAAAACACAAATTAAAAAAATAAATTTAAATGGTCATTTTAAATTATGTTGAGAAAAATACAAAACAAAAAAAAAACCAGTCTGTGCTGCACAAATGCTAAACTAAAAGGAAATAAGTGAAAACGTTAAAAGAAGAAGAAATGTATGTTCTCATGATCCAAAAACATTAGTGAAAATTTATACGAGGCTTTTTGTGGAGGGTGTGAGGTGACAAGTTTAAAAAAAGTATTTTTTATGTGCAGGACGAGGAAACAAATATCCATGTGAATGCCAGACTGGAGTCAATATTCATTTTGCATCAACAGGATCACTGTCACTCATCTTCCATGTGAGTGTGGTCAGAATGTGATGGTTTGATACTAAAAAGACATCAATCTGAATACTTCAGGTCCAGCTGCATTACAAAAACATGGGTTTTGTTGTTTCGAGATGCAGAAAAGACGAGCCACAAGGACGAGGGTGAAGGTGAGGCTCACATTACTCCCAGGGAATAAAACATGACGTAAAGCAAAGACAAGCGGCTGCCTCTGGAGGAAGCATCAGGTTACAGGATACAAACCTCCTCCATGCTCAGCCCGAGGAAGTCCTCCAGAGGTTCCGTGTTGTCTCCTCCATCGTCCTCCTGCAGGTCCTGCGCTTGGCTCAAACGCTCCTTTTCATCCTCCTCCTTCACCGGAGAAAACTTTCATTAGAATCTGTCACATTTGATTCCTTCAAGTAACTCAGATTTACACTCATTGCAGCGTAAACTCTAATTTGATTTAATCAGCAGCCGAGACATATAGTCTGCTTTCACAAAGATAATAATGTTAATTAATCTTATTTTATGGCAGGTGTAAAAATGTATAAAATATTAAATTGTTTGACATGATTTTTCTTATATTCTTAGATATTTTTATGTTATTAAATTAGGTAATTGTTAATATTACAGTGACATTTCTTTTAAATCCACTTGATTTTACAAATGTTATTTGTAATAATTTTTGAGGACGTTTCTTTTTTCTTCTGCAAAATCAATTTAAAAAAAAAACTTGTCGATCTGCAAAACATGATTTATTAGTAAATAAAAGCATCCCAGGTGACAGTAATCTTCTGTTTTAAAAGTATTTATATTTATAATCATATAAAAGGCCAATGCAAAACAAACAACAAACACTTCAGTCTATCGTGTCGATTTAAACATTCAGGCCATTTTTATTTGCATCCCTTCACAGATTAATGGTAAAACAAATTAACTTAATCTACACAGAAATCAAAGATTTTTGTCAGGATCAAACTTGTGGTCGAGTCCAATGCCCAGTCTTATTCTTTCTATAATTACCAAAAAAACAAAACAAAGAAAAACAAGTGAAGTAGTTCAAATCACAACAAAGCTCCAACTAGTCAAGTCCAGTTTATTTATACAGCACATTTAAAACAGCAACTGTTATCAAAGTGCTCCAACTACAGCCACAACTTTTTATTTCAGGGCTTTGACTTTAAAGACGTGTCAAAATAAAGTTAAACGTTTATTTTAAAAGTGACTTATTTTAAATGAAAGTTTGTCTGTGGTGAAGTTTTCTATCAAAACATCTTGAATCTGCAGATATGAACGAACAAAAGCTCTGAAGGTCCAGCATGCAGCTCTACAACTTAAAGATTCACTGATAAGTCCTCCACCACTCCACCACCATCCATCCATCCATCCATCCATCCATCCATCCATCCATCTATCCATCCATTATCTTTACCCATCCATCCATCCATCCATCCATCCATCCATCCATCCATCCATCCATTATCTTTATCCATCCATCCATTATCTTTATCATTAATCCATCCATCTATCCATCCATCCATCCATCCATTATCTTTTACCAGCTTCTTCCTTTTCGGGTCATGGGGTCACTGGTGCCCATAGCCAGTAGTCATTGTGCGAGAGGCAGGGGCCACCCTGGACATGTCTCCAGTCCATCACAGGGACACAGAGACAAATGAGACAAACAACCATTCACTCTTACACCTAGAGACAATTTAGAGTTACCAATCAGTCTAACATGCATGTTTTTGGTCTGTGGGAGGAAACTGGAGTACCTGGAAAAAAAAACCACGCAGCATGGAGAGAACATGCAAACTCCACCTAGAAAGAACTCCAGCTGGGATTTGAACAGACAACCCACTCACTGCAAGGCAACAGCTCTACCAGCTGATCCACTGTGCCCCCCCCCCCATCCCCAACAAGTGGTTTTTAATTAGTCTCTTCTTAGGTTACACTCATCAGGCACTCACTCCTGCCTAACCAGGAGCCTCCAATTCCTGGAAATGCTTCCCCCACTTCCATCACTGACCTGAGGCACCCTGCATGGATTTACAAACGCTCATTCAGAGCGCTGACACATGACCGATCGTGTTTTCTAGCTTCACTCGGCCGTTGGAGTCAGAATCAAAACACCAGCCTTCCAACAACTCTACAGCTCTTTTTTTATTTCCTCCGACTTCGATAGGGGAAAAAATTAATTACCTGTTAAATCTGTTTATTTTCAGTTTATTCAAACAACGTCAAGTCACAACAGAAGTCGTCTCAGGGCACTGTACTAAAACATCCACACATAAAAAAGCCAATTAGTAAAAGTTATCTATATACAGGAAGCAGCAGATTGTGTTGAATCTTCACTTTGTCACAGTCTCCCATCCTGAGCAAGCACAAAGGAGACAGTGGAAAGGAAAAACTCCCTTTGAACAGGAAGAAACCTCCAGCAGAACCAGGCTCAGGACGAGCGGCCATCTGCTCCAATCGGAGTCCAGCTGTAAATCCCCCAGCCTCTTTGTGAACACGTTGAGTTGTTACCTGGTCTCGTTTCTTTATCTCCTCCACCTGGCGGAGCTGCTCTGAGGACAGCACGCTCTCTATCCGCTGCATGTCCCTCATGAGGAGGCGCTGGGACTCCAGGAACTGGTCGTTGGCTCGCTGCCACGTCTGTTTCAGCTGGTTGTGCTGCTGCCGCTCCAGCTCCAGCTTGTGGCAGACTGAAAGCACAGGAGAGGCATGAGCGATTCCAGCTGATCGTTGGGCTGTGCCCTCTCTGAGTTAGTTATCTCTGCTACTACAGTGTTTTCATGAGCAGACAGAAAAATGTGCTCAAAATAGACCAGTTGATTTGTAATAAAGGACGTCAATAATGTACCAAAAGTTCTGTTAGGATGTAATGGTGTGGGGGAAAAAAAACTAAGGGTTACATGTTTACGTGATGCGAATCAAACCGGAGCATAAAACAAAACTGAAAAAACTTGCACAGTGTGAAGATACACGAAGTGAGTTTATTTTTATTTTTCCAATCAGCTTCTGTAAGAAACGTTAGAACGAACCATCGTGAAGCTCTTTTCTTAGTTTCTCTGCATCTTCCTGCAGGACGGACTTCTGGGTGTTCAGCACGGCCACGTACATCTCCAGGTCCGTACGACACGACTTCTCAGCCTCCAGAACGTGATTCATCTCTTTCACCTGTCAAAAAAATAAAATAAATATAAAAAAAATAAAAAAAACAAGAATACGCTCCGAGTTTTTCAGCTTTAGGCTTCTGGAACATAAACAACTTGTTTTAACATATTTCATCTTTGTTTCATGGCGGTCTCTGATTTTTTGCTTCCTGAATCTTTAAAACAAAAGTTTCAAAGCCACATATTTTTCTGTTAGTTCTGAAAACTGCCTCCTTCATTTTTATCCTCTGGGTAAGGGGTGGGCAATATGGCTCAAATATAATATCGTGATACTTCAGAGCATTCTGACAATAATGATAAATTTCACGATATAAAAAAAAAAACTGAAATCATAGTTATTTATTTGACAAAATTAACTTAACATATTGCTTTGCAGTATTACATAAAATTAAAAAAAAACAAGGGGTAATTTTACTGAAATTACTTTATTTAGTAAAGTATTCAGTCTCCAAGTATAAAAATAAAAAATGAAAATTATCTTTGTTATTTAGATTGAAAAAGTCTGCACAAAATATAGAAGGAGAGGGGAAAGAAAAAAAAAGACGAGTGGCAGCTTAGAGCGGGGGGAGGGAGAGACAGTTGAGCTGTCTGTACCTGCAGTTTAGAGCTGGATGGAGAGACAGCTGAGCCGCACGTTGTTTGTTTTTAGCATTTTAGCTAGCTAGTATTGCGCGCAGCTAATTAGCGTCACACCAGTACAGACAGGTGGAGGGGTGTGCGCAGTTCGTTGTGGTCGTTCGGCGTGCTCGGTTCTGTTAACGGGGCGGGGCGCCCTGACGTATTACGTCATGAAATTAGTATATCATGATATCATTTTTTTGCCCGGGTAAGCTTTTTTTACCGGTATTATCGAGAACGATACGATATGGCCCAGCCCTACTCTGGGTATTGATAGTTTGGGACATTCTGGAGCCAGAAGAGAACATATTTGTACAAAAAGGTAGAGCGATGAAGAAACTTTACTGGACAAATATTTACATACCTGAGGTGTAATTTCTATTAATCATTGGAATTACCGTGGATTAAAAAAGGCGCACACCAATCTGAAAAACTGAATTGAGCTAATAACACAAGAAGAGCTAAAGGAAAATTTTACTTCTAACCTACAAAGCCATCAACGTCCTAGCTCCATCTTATTTTACAGATCTTATTGTCCCATATTTTCCTAACAGAGCACTTCGTTTTCAGAATGCAGGCTTACTTGCGGTTCCTCGAGTTTCCAAAAGCAGAATGGGAGGAAGATCTTTCAGTTCTCAGGCTCCTATCTTGTGGAACCAACTTCAGTTTCTGTCCATGAGGCTGACACATGGTCCAGTTTTAAGTCTGGGATTAAGACTTTCCTTTTTGATAAATCCTATAGTTAGGGTTGACTTGTTATGCTGCTATAGGCTTAAGACTACTAGAGGACAAATTGACCTCATTTCTTAAAATTGTTACGAATGAACAGTTTTCATTTGATACTATTTCTATCTTAACATGTGACTCTTGACCTGCCATTGTGTATCTGTTCCTCTCAAACCCAACAGATCGAAGCAGATGACCGCTTGTCCTGAGCCTGGTTCTGCTAAAGGTTTCTCCTTCATGAGGGAGTTTTTCCTTTCCACTGTCGCCTTCATGTTTGCTCAAGATGAGAGTCTGTGATGGAGTTAAACTCAAAACAGTCTGCTCCTCAGATAAATAATGTTAAATTATTATTTTTATATATGAATGTTTCTGTTCCGTGCCCTGAGATGACCTCTGTTGTGACTTGGCGCTGTATACTGTAAATAAACTGAATCGAAAGTGAATTGCAAACATTTTTTACCATTTCATGAGAAACTGACATTTCTTTCAAATGAGATACGCCTACGGTCAGATGACATCAATCAACACATCTGAAGGAACTTCACCAAATCAGTTGTAAAAAAAACCTTTGAAAAGTAGCAAAACATACCAACACCGTTCAGATGAACTACAGAAATTAGCGCTGACAGACCGCTGGGATTCATTTAAAAAGCTTAAACTGAGTTGTTTAAGTTGCAACAAGCTGAACGGAGCTTAACATTTCAAAACCACAGCTAAAATGTAGAAGTAGTTTTTCCCCATGAGACCTTCAGAGCGTTAAAAAATCTCTTGCGTGTAAAAAAAAAAAAAAAGTTTAGTTTCGGTTCAGTTTTCCTCTGAATCAAATCAATTTAAATGATTAGAAGGAGCAGCTCCTCCTGACTCGTTGACGTGATTGCAGGAACGAATGAGCCGACTCACCTTGGAGGCCTCCAGCTCCTTCACCCTCTCCTCGGCTGCCGTCAGCTTCGCCTTCAGGGCGCCGATCTCCTGCTCCATGGGCATGACCACCGACCGGAGCTTCTCCGCGTCCTCCTGAGCCTGAGGAGAACGTCACGCTGTGAGACTGAAAACAGACGGGGGGGCCGTGCGGACGCAGAATTTATTAAATCTGGATTCGACGTTACAAACGATCCAGCTTGATGACAAATCTGCCCAGCGGGGAATTTGTGCTCTCTGTTTGTACCCATGAACGAATCATGTCCTCAGACTTTCAGCTGCACGTTCAACCGAGCGTTTGCATTTTCAGCACAGACTCGAGTCACTTCACAAAGATTTATTTAAAGTCATAAAACACTCTTCACCCTTTGATACAGGAGTCAAAGAAAACTGATGTGTAAAAACCTCCGTTAGCTTCCTTTAAGATCAAACCCTAAATCTGAAGTCGTGTTTACGATGCCACTGAAATTTATACACACATTTCTATTTTTCCTGCCTGTAAACAACCAAACATCTCGGTTTACAGTAATAATTTAAAAAAAAGAACGTGACTTGGACTGAAAGGCCGGTTCAGAACTTCACAGAAAACTGCATATCACTAAAACCACGATGGTTTGTTATCAGGTCGGATTAAATCAGATGATGTGAGGTACAGTTTGTATTTAGATTTGTTTTTTTGTATTCCTCTATTTGTTTCTGTTTTTCTCTTCTTCATCCTCCACAGTTCAATCCAACAGGACGAGTGAAGGTGGTGTGGGTGGAGGGCAACGATCTGACAGTTCTGGATCTTTCTGCTCTTCCATGAGATTTCCGATCCAATCTGAAGGCACAAATCTGTGCTCTATTTTTAGATGCTAGTTTTACTCAGGATTTAACAGATAACAGGATAAAAAATGTATTCGCTGTTTGGAAATCTGTCACTTTAAGAAAATGTGTTTATGTAACTGTAAAATCTGATTTAGCCTTTCACTGTTTGTGTTTTCTGTCATCTACCTACTTCTGCATCTTTGTGCCATTTGATCCGTTCATAAATCAAAACGTTGAGCTCAGTCAGGACGTGGCTGTTGGTTTTTAAAACTTTTAACTTTTCAAAATATTCAACTTTATTAACAAATAGTTTCCCCATAGAAACGCATGAAAATCTCTTCAGTTCCTTCAGAAACTTTGTTCTCTTTGAAATCTGCTTCAGTGCACTCTGTTGTCCCATTTGTTCCATTTTAGCGCGTCTTTTGCTACTTTTAGTTTCACGCTACCATTCTGCTAAGTTTACCTTTCAGCTACTGTTAAAATACTGCTATTTTAGGCATTTAGCTAGCCATTATGCAACTTGTATTTTTTAGCTTTCATTCTGCTACATTTAGCTTTTAGCTACCATTCTGCTACATTTAGTTTTTAGCTACCATTCTGTTACATTGAGCTTTTAGCTACCATTCTGCTACATTTAGTTTTTAGCTACTATTCTGTTACATTGAGCTTTTAGCTAACATTCTGCTACATTTAGCTTTTAGCTAACATTCTGCTACATTTAGCTAACATTCTGCTACATTTAGCTTTTAGCTACCATTCTGCTAGATTTAGTTTTCAAGCTACCATTCTGTTACATTTAACTTTTAGCTAACATTCTGATACATTTAGCTTTTAGCTACCATTCTGCTACATTTAGCTTTTAGCTAACATTCTGCTAGATTTAGTTTTCAAGCTACCATTCTGTTACATTTAACTTTTAGCTAACATTCTGATACATTTAGCTTTTAGCTAGCATTCTGCTACATTCAGCTTTTAGCTACCATTCTGTTACATTTAGCTTTTAGCTAACCTTCTGCTGCATTTAGCTTTTAGCTAACATTCTGCTACATTTAGTTTTTAGCTACCATTCTGTTACATTTAGCTTTTAGCTAACATTCTGCTACATTTAGTTTTTAGCTAACATTCTGCTACATTTAGCTTTTAGTTAATATTCTGCTACGTTTAGATTTTAGCTAACATTCCGCTACATTTAGTTTTGAGCTACTTTTTACAACTTTTAGAAGATGAATTAGCCTTTTGCTACTTTGAAAGGTGAGCTATGATTCTCCTACATTTAGCTTTTAGCTAGCTTTTACAACTTTTAACTACCATTCTGCTACATTTAGCTTTTAGCTACCATTCTGCTAATTTAATTTTAGCTGCTGTTCTACTACTTTTAGCATCTAATTAGCCTTTTTCTAACTACAATTTTTAGCTACCATTCTGCTCCTTTAAGCTTTTAGCTAGCTCTTTAGTTCTCAGGTTCCATCCTGCTACCTTTAGCTATTGTTCTACTACTCTTACCATTTACCTAGCCTTTTGTTTCTGTTAGCTGCAACAACTAAGTGTTAGCGTCTTCAGCATATTTCAGCTGTCACTGAGCATCAGATGTGTATTTTTACAAAAACTGCTGTTTCTTCGGTTCTTCTGGGCAGAACTGGTTTAATGTAGCTACAGCTTTCGGCAGCTAAGAGCTGAAAATCTTGGACCTGGTGAACAGAGTGAAGAGTCCAGCTGGCTCCATCATGCAGTGCATAATGACTCCTCCTCTGGACTTCCTTTTATAAACTTAGCAGAAAAACGTGGGAGAAAAACAAGAACCTTCCAGCTCCACGTCAGTTCTCCATCAGGAGATCAAACTTTCTAAACACGTGAACACAAACAGCCGCAAAATAAAATGGAAAAAAAAAAGTGTCTTACTTTTTTCATTTCATCCTCCAGGTTCTCCTCCTCCTGACCCTCGGTGAGGCGCCGTCTCAGGTCTGCCAGTTCTCGCTCCACCGCCTCTCGGTACTGGTTCCACTGGGCTCGCTCCTGCTCCAGGCGCTGGTGGAACTGGACCTCATATTCACACACAGTGTCTGAAGGAGACGCACGACAAAATCAGATGTTCTCGTCATGGTTGCTGTGGCAGAAATCCAAAATATTATCCCTGTGAAACAAACACTAAGAAGGTTTTTACTTTTGTTTTGTTAAATAAAGACGGTTTATGGGAATGTAACAAAAAAAAAGCTTTAAAAACTTAAAATTGTGCTTTAACTTCAGGGGCAAGTCAATGTTTTTACCATTTCTACAAACGTGCAAACGCTGTTGGGTACGCTTTTACGACTGGTGTGCGCTTTTCAAAATAAATTTTAAAATGTTGTCTGTTTCTGATGAATGACCATCATGTCGTCGTGCACGATAAACATTACGCTCATTCAAAAGACAGGTCAGCAAAATGGCTGCACAGACCAGTTCTTCCTCTAACGGTTCATAAACCCCGCTCAGATGTGGGCTTCGAGCAGAACCAAAAAGAGGCGGAGCAGAACTCAGCCGGGTTGAAGTGAAGCGTGATGCATTAAATGTGTGTCGGACATCTCCCTCGTGTCATTTACTACAATAATTTCACTCACTTTAATGACACTCTTTGTGGTTAACTATTTATTAAAACCAACTGCAAAGCTGCTGTGTCATCATCAATATTCTCCGGTAATAAATCAGTTTGTTGTTGTTTAATCTGGCGAGTGGACGGTCACACAATGATATCATCGGTTCATCCAAGCGTCACCGTGAGAGCGCACAACCTTTCGACTCGTGTTTCTGCTAATTTAGTTCTTATAATAAAACGTTATTAACACAAAAACAAAGATATTCGTACGCCTCAGATTAAATCAAAGATGTGTCTCTGTTTAACTTTATTTTATTTTTCCCCAAACCCACAAAGTTCTCTCTGTGAGGCTGTGTGAGCTGCAAAGGATGCTGGGTAGTCTTTTTGAAATTGAGTGTGCAATGTTTCTAACTGATTTTGATGTTTCTGTGTGTAAACAGGTTGTTCTTGTTAATGTCCTGTTCAGGTTTGATTTAGCATTCATGTTGAAGTCTCTGTCATCGGCTTTTTCCACACAGGGTTAAATAAAAAACACTCCCAGCTGAACTTTAAGGCTTCTCTTCCAACTTGGTTTAAATGATACTCATGTTTTATTATCGCCTGCCGTCTAAAGTTTATTGCGAATGTGAGCAAAATATCTCATGAACCACTGAACAAATTTTAAGAAAACATTAAAAAGTAATTATTGGATGAAAATCTACAACTGACGAACGTTCAGAGCCAACCTGATTTAAGATGGCCGCCACAGCAAGTGACTTAAAAACAAGAAAAACGGCTACAACTCAGTCGGTTTTATAGAGACTGAGTTAAAATTTAAGGTGGTAGTAGCTGAGAGTCATCCACAAGTTCTCAACATGAGATGATCTCATGCTGGCAGAGAGTTGAGAGTGAGCAGCGCAGTCCAGGAATTTAAGACTGTGACCCGTTAACCGGAACATTAAATCGGACAAACGAAACCTCACGAGAACAGATTTAACCCCGAAGAGTCGAGCAGCGACAGACAGTGATTTAATCTGATCTGTGTTTGTACAGCCACCTGCAGTGTTACGAGCTGCTGTCGACACACGCAACACAAAAACTGTAGCCTAACAACTTTAAACTTTGGCAAGAACAAAAAAAAAAAAACACGAGCTGTAATAGGATTAGGATTAGGAGTAAAACTAATATAACAAGTTTAATGTGCTCTCATGTCTGTGGAGGTGTACTAAAACAACCTGACTCTAGCGAGCAGACTGCAGAGTAGCTTAAGAAATAAACTGTACAATTTAATTTTTTTAAGTAATAATGATCCAGTAAGACGTGTTTGAGCTCCACCGGCAGCTCTGAGCACCTTTCATGATGGCCTGCAGAGAAGCCACTTCCTCCTGCCACTGGCTGCGGACCTGGTCGATGGCCTCCTGCTTCGTGTTTTCCGACACGGTTGCCACGGCTTTGATGGTCTCGATCTCGGCCCAGGCCTGAGCCAGCTGGGCCTGAACGGTGCTCAGCTCGGTCTGGGAGTTCTCCAGCGCTGCAGTCTGCCTCTTGAGCTCCTCTGATTGGGGGGACAGGACAGATCAAACGTAAAACAGGATGGACGGAAGACAAGTGGGTCAAACAGAGCAGCTTGGAAGGAGGAGCCACTCGTTTATGTGCTCTTTATGAGTTTTTTAGTGCTTCACAGAACCAGAATCCTATCTTTATGCTGACAATTTAAAAACAAAATTCTAACTACTCTGTGCTCTTTGGTCAATGATTGATCGAACACAGATGGTCCCTGACGAACAGTTGGGTTTTATTCTGAGGCTCACCTTCCTTGGACAGGTAGAGCTCCTTGAATTTGGCCCGTTTCTGGTTGAACTCGGCGTCCAGCTGCTGCTTGAGTCTGATGAACTCGGTCCGCTCCCGCTCCAGAGCGGCCACTCGCTGCTGGAGCACCTCTTGGATCACAAACAGGAACAAAAACAAAACAGAGGTGCTGGTGATCAACTGCTGGCTGCGTGTAATTAAAGATGAAACGAATCAACCTGCAAATTATTTACATTTAATTACATTAAGACCATTAATCATGTCAAATCAGAGACCGTCAGTCAAAGGCAGGATAACAATAACCCGTCAAATAAACCGGATTAGTCAGAAAACAAACAGTAATCGTCATTTGTTGTTCTCTCTTAAGGTAGAAAACTAAAAATATTTGACAACTAAACATAGTAAGATGATTTAATGGTAATTATTATTTTTTATTTATTTATGCAAACACTAATCCTTGCACTAATCAACAATGAAAAAATGTGTGTAGGGCTGTAAATAATTATTTTTATTACTGGTTTTTATAATAATACTAATCCTAAATCAGTCATTTGTCTCCAAAGAACAGCCTTAAGAAATAATTTCACATAAACCATAACAGAGCACAGCAGTCCCTCGCTACTTCACGGTACGACTTTTACAGTTTTTTAACAACTGTCAACTTTAACATTACTCATGTGATTGGGACAGTACGGAATAAAAAGTTAATGAAAAAAAATACTTGGGAGAAGCACCGTCATGCAACGCCAGTCCAAAATAACTAAATTACCCAGAAGCCAACAGTGCTTGCGGCTGCTGCTTTCTGCCAAAATGGAGGGAAAGTTTTGATCAGATTCAAACCTGATTAAAAAGTCTGGTCCTTTTTCATAGTGACTTTGGCGCTCATTGGATGCAGAGAGCCGAACAGAACCGGACCAGAACTACTTCCAGCCTCATCGGCCATGCTGAGTGCTGCTAGCCGGCCCATGAAGCCTCTCGAGTGTGGAGGTCCGGTGTCTTCTCCGGAGCTCGCCCAGACTTTTTCCATTCAGATCCATCTGGATTATTTGGACTCGATCGGGACCATTGTGTGATTTTGTTCTGGCTCTCTGAAGGTCCGGCCCTCTCCAAAAGCTTCTGGTGCTCAACGGCTGCAGAGCCAATCAGAACCGGACCAGAACCAGACCAAGGTTGGTGAGTCCCCATATAAAATTTGCAGTACTGTACAGTACATATATGTATGTTGTTCAAATTACGTAGGTTAAAGCGTTTAGAACATTGTGAAGTGTGTGGGAAGGGTTTCTAAAGCCTTAAACTATATATAAATACTAAAATAAATATGTATAGCGTTCCTACTTCGTGGTTTTTCACTTATTGTGGGGGTGTCCTGAACGTATAGTGATAAACGAGGGACTACTCTACATTCTGTTAATAGGCAGAGTGACTAACTTTAATTATACTGAACAAACCACTCGTGTTTGATGCCGTCTGTATTCTTGAAAGTTTTAAATAATGCACTGGCAGCTCTCTAATGGACCTGAACGTATCCGAGGTCACAGCGAGCGGCTCGTACCTGATTTAACTCGTCTGTTATTTAAAACCTGCACACAGAGGACAGAGACGGGGTAATTCTGCACACGCAGACAGACAAACGGAAACTTTTACGAGCGACAGGAAGGGTCAGCACGGCTCTGTCAGCGTCATGTGATCGAGGACAAAGTTTTGCTCTTTTGCAACGTCAAAAAAAAAGTTTATTTAAACATTTCTGTAACAGTTATTGTTAATCATGGAGGGAAACACAAACATCATGTAAATAAAAACTTTGAAACAAGCTTTAAAATAACCCACAGGTCATACTGATCAAACTTAGCAGCGTTTCATTTAGCAGATGCTCACACATGTCAACATCTACTATTAAAGCACTAAATTTAAATTAAAAAAACCTCACAAAGAATTTCCTTTTTAATCATTACAACTGCTTTCGTGTACGGAGAGGTACTGGTTGCAATCTATGAAGTCAAAAACAAAAACACTTTCCTGAACTCTCTCAAACGGGACTATTTGAAAGAGTTTACTCCTGTAGATATAACTTGAAATGTGGATACGCATTTAATGTAAACAAAGAGCTTTTGTCTGCCTGTTTTCCTCAACAAGTCTGAGCGTTCATAATAAATCAGAACGGCCCGACTTCTCCATCCCAAACAGCTTTTCTGTAGTTGTCACTGATGACCCGTTTTCAGTCGCTGCGGCTGTTTCCATAGGTAAACAAACACATGACATAGTTGACGGCATATTAACCACCAAGATTAAAAAAAAAACAGTGTGAAATTTGTTTCTTTATTTTTACTTTTCCTGCCGTAATGCCTCGCTGTGTCAGTTTATCCAGTTTATAAGTGAATAAACAAGTTCCTATGAAGAAACACTGCAAAAGGCCAATAGTTAAATGTTTTGTTGGTCAATGAACCTTATCATGTCATACACTGAAAGAGCTGCAGTCTATTTTTCATGTACGTGTTCATTATCAAATTTACTACAATCAGCAGCTGTCACGTTTGCTTAAACATCCCCAGAGACAGATTGTTGCCAAATCTATAAACTCACAATTTCAAGAACATGGACATTAGCAGTCCTTAGTCACAAATATCTGAACTGGTTTTTAACATTTAAAATGATTTTGTGCAACTGTTTGCAATAACATGGATAAACACATACGGAACAGAAATTATGCATATTTACCATTCCCATGTTTTTACAGTTTCTGAACCATTCTTGTGATAAACTTTAAATAATCTCCAGCTTGCCCAACCTTGTGTAATGAATGATTTTAAGTCAGCTACAAAATAAACAGGGTAAATCAGCTTCCTGAGTTGGGTCAAGCCTCCAAGGCAACACACAACATATAAACCAGGACTGAAATGACCCATAAAACCCGAGTTACAGGCTGTCAGTCCTGGACCAAACCCACCTTTGGATTAAACCAGTCATCAAGCTATAAGCTAAAACGCTTTCTCTGTTTTGTCATCAGCTGTGACAACACGGCTCCTCTTCATCAATGTACAGCCTTGGTTTGATTAAAGTGATGTTTATAAACGCACACACTGCGTAACATTAAATGTTCAATAAGTGACAGCAGTGACACGTCGCCCTGATGATGCTAACTGGCTAATGTTGTCAAGGATGCAGAGGCCGCTGCCTTCAGCTCTCCTGCCCGGAGAGGCGTCAAACGGGAGACATTTACCGTCATGGTGGGACGACGGAGGGGATCCCGAGGCCTCCGAGGCCATGGTTTCCGAAGGAGGGCTTAAAGGATATTACCAAAAAGGTGGGAAATAAGCAAGGAGCGTCCAAGAAAATAGGCTAACATAACAACTACCGTTAAGCTAGCAAAAGGGGGAAAGCGGTTTCCGGTTGTGTATCAAAATAAAAAACATTTCGCGCTTAGGGCTTTTTCATAACAACTATTATCAATTTCTATATGAAATTATAATTGTTTTATAATAACTTAAAAATATAAAATTATCTGAGTTGTTCTGAAGTTAATGTAAAAGTAAAAAAAAACGTGTATTTAATATTTTGGCGCTTTGAGCTATTATTTTGAAGACAATAAATGCACTTCCTGTAACTGTCTTCGCTCGCAAGTTTTCTTATTCCGGTGAAATCTTTCAAAATAAAAGGAAATATTTACAACTTTTTTTTTTTTAACATTCAAAATCAAGTCTCCTTTTTTCAGTGCAGAAACGTGTTTCATTTTGTTATTTTGAATCAATTTTAGAAGCTCATGCTGTTTATAAATGCATTTTTTTCACTCAACCTTTATTTATACAGGTCAGTCCCATTGAGCCTTGGGGACTCATTTACAAGAGAGACCTTTAACAAATAAAATAATCCTACTTAAGCAACATTGTGTGTGTCGTAATCTGTTACCTCTTCCAACTTAATGTTATCTGTAATGGAAATCTTATCAGCATGTAATGCTAGCTAGGATGTCCGCTAACTTTCATTCATTCATTCAATTTATTCATACAGGTTATTCCCACTGAGCCTCAGGGACTCATTTACAAGAGAGACCGGAATTTAACAAAGAGTGATAACAACAGTAGACAACAAAAACAACCGTAGACGATCATAAAAGAAAGCATACAAATTGAGAATAACAAAAGAAAACGGTATTAAAAAATGAAACAAAAACAGTTAGATTGTAAGGTGGTGTAAAAAACTAAAAACAGGAAAATGTCTGCATTGGTTTGTGCCATATGTTTGAAGCCACTTAGAGAGGTCAAGGTCGACAGCTTCAGACCCTTTTGCAAGATGTTCCAGGAAACGGGAGCGGAGTAGGAGAAGGTCCTTTTGTCTAGTTCAGTCCTCACTGAGGGAACACTGCAGGTAATGATGTCCTGAGAGCGCACACGATTTATGACATAATTGCAGTAGTACATAAATCACATTTTCACATCTCTAAAGAGTAGTGAGACTTCAAACTAAGATAACAGAACTGAAAATACAGTATGACCAACTTCATGCAATAATCTGTACTGATATCATAGACATTATTTGCTTTACTTTGTTTTAAATATATTATTATACACTGTTAAAAGTATTTTTAACAGTATTAAAATGTATCCATGAAGTTTATATCAAGTGTTTTAACAATATAATTTAAACAAATTTACAAAAATTGTAAAATGTGGGCAGAAATTACTCCTCGGAAACGTGTATTGAGAGATACATTTGATTTTTATTGTTTGAATGTGAATAAAAATGTAAAAATAAATGAAACCGTAACTGTCCCCGTTTCTTCATTTCATCTTGATAACCAGGGGTGGAAGTAACAAATTACAAATACTCACATTACTGTAATTAAGTAGATTTTTTTGGGGTACTTGTAATGAGTATTTCTTTCAAGTGTGTTATTTTACTCATACTTAAGTACAATTTAGACCATGTAATCTACTTCACTACTTGTAAAATCAGAAATTGCTACAGAGTACGGCCACAATTTGAATTAATATTCAAACTGCGTCTTTGTAGCCAATAAGGCTCTTAGATTGCGAACGCACCGATTACCTATGACGTAAGCAAAGGACAACTCCGTAGAGTAGAGAGTCATTCATGGACTAAAGATATGGAGAAAAATCCAAAATGGAGACAGAGGACAACACTGTCAACAGAGGAAATGAGGAGGTAAAGGCTGAGGACGAGTTCCCGTGGTCGTACCTGGAGGAATGTTTCAAGTACAGAGGGTGAAAAGGAGACAGAGTCCAGATGCAAACTTTGTTAGATCTGTACTGTGACAGCAGCTTACAGGACTTCATCTAATCTCAAAAACATATTGCAGTATACAAGGTTTGATGTTACTGTTTTATTGTTTGTATGTGTGGGTTATTAGTTTGGCTAAGTACACAAAGATCTTAGATATTGTCCCTGCCATCAGTTTGTCTGGTACTAAAATAAGACGGAGCCTCCGAGCGTCTGAGAACTGAGCTTTGACTGTTTACTGTTATATACAGTAAATCAAACTGAATGACTTCTATTGACAACACAATGAAACATCAAGTGGTTAAAACGTAATTAAATGAGTAGTTTTTGAGAAGAGCACTTTGTACTTTTACTTAAGTATTTTTATAGCACCAGTATTTTAGTTGTAATTGAGTACAGTTTAAGCTGTGTAACAGTACTTGCACTTGAGTACAAATTTTCAGTACTCTTTCCACCTCTGTTGATAACCTTTAATTATTTTTTGTCTCCGAGCTGGAAATGTCTCCAGATTGAACGTCAGAAATCTGGTCACCTTATTTAACGGGGATCTCCACTCCTGACGTCACATAATTTGCATAGATAATCCACACACCCCCCCCACCCCCTCACAGTAACCCGTATGTTAGAACAACATCATGGCTTCACAACAATATTCAGTTGTTTAACATTAACAGAAAAAGATATTCCCGGCGTGAACCTGGACACGTCTGACTTCAGTAAATACACAAACGTCCAGTTGAAACGTCGGCCGCTGTGTCCAGGTCTTTGACAAACTGGAAAGCTTGTGAGTGTGCACGGCTTTTTGTGCATTTATCGCCAAGCAACTGTTTTTGCATCATTTTCAGAAACTTAGACGGCGATACTGTATCTAAAATGTGTGCATGTAGTATTATTACCACTGTACCGGGTCAAATCCAGCTCGTCCCATTGCTCTAATCCAGCCTTCAGACTTCTCTGTCTGCGTCTTTGGATTGTAATCTGAGTCACTGAAACAGACGCTCAGCGTTTTGTGGCCCTCCTGGTGTAATTTGATCCATCCATCCATTTTCTTTACCCGCTTATTCCATTTTGGGTCACGGGGGTCGCTGGTGCCCATGTCCAGCAATCACTGTGCGAGGGGCGGGGTACACCCTGGACGGGTCGCAAGTCCATCACAGGGACACACAGAGACAAACGAGACAAACAAACATTCACTCTCTCTCTCACACCTAGGGACAATTTAGAGTTACCAATCAGCCTAACATGCATGTTTTTGGACTGTGGGAGGAAACTGGAGTACTGTATTCAGAGAAAACCCACAGAGAGAACATGCGAACTCCACCCAGAAAGGCCCCCAGCCAGGATTTGAACCAGCGACCTTCTCACTGAGAGGTAACTCCTCTAACAACTGCCCAGGTGTCATCACGCCATGTGTTTCATCAGCTCCTGTCCGGTTTTCCTTCTTTAGTGAAGCATCTCCTGGTTTATTTTTGGAACTGACGCTGCCGTGTCAGCCTTAATGTTTTGTTTTATCTTTAAATATATTTCTCAGCTGTGGCGTCTTTATCATCTCAGAGCAATAAAACAACTGTTTGCAAAGATGTGCAGGTTTATTTGAACTCCATCACACACACGATGTGGTCACTGATGCTTGGCAGAGGAGGGGGGCGTCTGGTTTCTTCACTAAACTGAGAAAATCAGAAGCTGCTATGCAAAGTTTCAGCGCATGACGACGACTGCTGGATGGTGAAATCCACTTTCATCTTTAATTTCATGAGACCGCCACCTGGTTTTCACTCAACGTCGGAGCCATCGGCTGTTTTCTGAAAAGGTAGGACGTGCTCTCTTCATATTTTACCGTTTATGAGAGGAAATTGGATTTTTAAATAAAAAATGGCCACAATGAGTTCTGAACTTACTGCATCTGTGTTTGGAAGTAGTCAGGAAGCTGTTGCTGACAGAGGATGTGGGGCAAAAACAAGATAAACAGAAAAGCAAGCATTTACATCCTCCTGCTCGTGGAGATACGAGGACAGAAGTTTGTCCTTGCAGTTATAATAAATAATATTAATCTGTGTGTAAGGCAGCAGAATTATCTGCATGTGCCACATTCTTATTGCTGGCGGTGCAGGCGGCGGACTTCCTCCCGAGAAGACGAGTCCTCAGAGACCGTCTTGTTTGAGTCTCAGAGCGAATGGCAACGCCAAAATAACCTAAAGACTCAGTCAACGCTCAAAAAGAGGAAGTGGTCGACACTTTGCTTTCCGACGCCCAGCCTCGAATGCTGAGAAGCAGCTCGTCAAATGTGTTACACCGAGTGTGAGTTTGATTTCTCTCTCTTTCTATCTTTATTTTCTTTCAGTTTCTTGTAACCGAAGGCATCCAGCATGACTTTTTTACGTAAATACATCTGGGTTTTAGTGATACTCGGGATGATTTTTGTGTCTTTGGTGATCAGCCTCATCTTCCTGATCATCAACAAATGCATATTCACGAAAGGTAAGATGACTCTCTCTGTGGCACATTTACCACAAGTTGTATTTCCATGACAGCCTCCAAAGTATTTACTGTTTCATGTCACATGGTTTGTTTGGCTTATTAGATGATAAAGTTCAGGTTCGACGTTAGAGGCAGCTGTAAGAAACACCGAGATGATTTTTTTCCATTTTACGGTGAAGATGAACAACTTTCCATCCACTAAACTTTAGAACTGTGGAGCACAAACTTTGGATTTTGACCCCGAGGCACGTGGCCTCATCTTTTTCTGTTTTAAATAATTAACTTCACCAACAACTTTATTAAACTTGACAACATAAAGTCAACAACCAGAATGTAATTTTTATTCAGCAAATGAATCTTGGTAAACACAAAAAAAAGTCTATAATTCAGCCATTTTTGTAGATATTAAGCTAAAATTTGGTGAGGTAGTAGCAGAGAGTGTTGCTCATCTTATGCTTTGGATCTAATATCGATATTTAGAACTTTGTAAATAATTATTGGATCAAATCTGTTAATTTGTCTAAATAAAGGTTGAATGAATTTTATGACAAATTATCTCATGAATAGATTTTAGTGAAACTTACTCTCTATTTACCATATTTTTATTGATTTTGATATTGATTTTTATTTAAAAAATGCTGAAACGTGTGAATAATTTT